CATCTAATCAGAGAATGATTTGCATTCACTGAGCAAATGCAAAGTGTTTTGTTAATGGCATCCGTGCCGAGCAAACAACCCCCTGTGTTCAGCAGGGCAGCAGGACCCAAAGGCTAGTGGAGATCACTATAGTAGGTGTGCCTACTACAATGATTTCTAGCTTCCATGGGGATCCTACAGGTATGACACATACTTTTAGTAGTCCAAGCTGGACCAAGTAACTGAATAAAATTCCATACCTAAACTTGTGTTTTTATTACTGTTTAAACTTGAAATTTCTAAAATACAGTAAAATGTAATTACTGGAATAACCAGTTACAGCTTCTTCATCCATAACTCTCCTCTTTCACAGTTTTCTGTTTATTACTGCAGTACAGCTGCTCATTACGGTAGACCATTCATACAAATCTTTAATGGCAAAGGAAATCAGAACAGCAGTATTTCGGAATGCAAACTTTTTATTGGGAATGAAATACATTACAAAGAAGAGATTACTTCCTGGGATAACCCTGAAGTGAAAATCATGTCTCTGTGGGCTACACAGATTATACAGGGAATTAAAGTATGGTCCAATAATAAAGTGGTGGTGTCATATCAGATTAGGATGAGCACGATTCACATTCGCAGGCAGTGTGGGCTTCTACAATTTCTGTGATATCTTCAGGTTTGTCTAGGTATGCCTGTCCTTCAGCCAGGTCCACAGTTGACTCTACAGGGAGAAGACACATTATACATGATAAATTAGAGTTCATAAAAAATCAAAGTGCTGTGTAGAGTCTCCACGCTTGAAGCCTAAAACAAATGCAGAAATAACTGTCTAAAAACAAACCACTGCAACTATTAAGATTCAAACGATTGTATGAGCGGTCCTAACAGGGGCGGACTGACCATTTGGAAACTCTGGCACTGCCCGAGGGCCCGGGGTCAGTAGGGGGCCCCATGAGATGCCCCTGGTACCTTTTTAATAGGCTTTTTTGAGTTTGGGCAAGGACACAGGGGCCCCATGATCCCCTATTGCCCGGGGGCCCCATGAGTTGTCAGTCCGCCCCTGGGTCCTAACAATTTTTCTCTTGCATATGTCTGTAAAAGCTTGTTGTGATTGGTTAAATTGTTTATAAGGAAACTATTTCTCAGCTACTTTTTAGCAGTAGGTAGGCGAAGGTTTTTAAAGAAACAAATGTAATAATATAAAGCAGTGGTCTTCAAACTGTAGCCCATTAGTCAGATGTGGCTCTTTGCCCGCCTTTATCTGGCCCTCGGGGCACTTTTCTTCCATCTGATACAGGGCAAAATTCCTTCCACTGACACCAACATTGGGCCATAGCTTCTCCTACCACTATAAAACAATAAAAAACTGTTACTCCTGCTGACACCAATGATGGGGGAATATTCCTCCTTCCACCAATGCTAGGGTATTTTCTCCTCCAATTTACCACAGTCTGCCCCCCTAAAGTCTGAAGAACAATAAACTAGCCCTTTGCTTAGAAAGTTTGGAAACCCCTGCTTGGATGAATGGTTTAGTGCACTGATAGTTAAATAATACAGTCCTTTTGTAGAGGGTCATACATCAGACCAATAAAAGGGACAACTAAAGAGGAAAGTGGGACAGAGGGATTTAGTTCCAAAATAAGAACTGCCTCTCGAAGTCCTCATTTATGGCAGTGTGTGTTCGGAGACATGCACCTGCACCTGTACCCGCACCCACACAGATGGCCTCATTAATGAGAATGCGAGTTTGGGGACATGCCCCCCCCCACGTCCCCCCCCACACACACACGGATGTCAAGCAGTGGCTATGTCCGTGCAGCCGTGGCATTCCAATTGATTTGAATAGGAATACCTGCACACATGGAACACCTACCTGTGCATCCTGTGCAGGCCAAACATGCCCATAAGTATACCCATGTGAACGGCTCTTTAATCAGGGATAGTAGGGGGCTATGTATTTTGATGAATGATGAAACATCTTCATCATTACAAGGTCAGTCCAGTCCAAGTGTGATACACTACCAATAGCTATTCCCTAACAGGGCTTTTAACAACTTTATAAAATTGCTGACTAACTTTATAGAGAAAGGCAACTTTGGGTATTATGTATGTGTTTAATTTGGAACTTTATTTCCCCTTTAGCAACTACATTTCTTCTCCTGTTCCTGTTGTTAAAGTAGGATAGATTATAAACTCGAAAGAGCAGGGCCCTCAGTCCCCTCATGTTTTGCATTGTATTGGTATTGTTCTGTCACATGTTCTGTCCCCCTTTGTAATGTACAGCGCTGAGCAAACTATTGGCGCTTTATAAATACTGTATAATAATAATAATAATGTAGGTGGCAACACGTACTTTTAATCAATCAGATATGTTATACATTAGTCTTTTAATGTCAGCTCTTTGGAAAAGAAAATCATATTTTTTGCATGAAAAGGCCCAAAGATGGGCTGTTTTTAATTAAGCTGGTATTTTCACTTTATACACTGAAGAAATTAAGTGAACACTTACCATAGGGCAGACAATGGAAACCAACAGGTACATCAACGGTCTTGGTTGCACGACATTCTTTGGCGCAGCGCAAGACAGGATGAACATTGTAACACTTGGATTTTTCACCATAGCTTTCATCCTCGAGTTTCACAAGAGTGTGTTGAAGGTTGCAACCTTAGCAGAAAAAGAGAAGCAAAGGAAGAATTACACTTTTAAAAAATGTTTCTTAGTCCCCCAGTTTCCTCTTGCAGCAAGGATGGTTGAATGAAAAATTAGAACTAATAAATAAAGACTGTCCTCCACCTTGATTTTATTGTTGCTATTGCTTGTGCAGTTCTGCAATCAGCCCAAATTATTGGTATACCTTCCCTAAGCTAACCCCTAACCCCACTGTATAGACTTACCTATGACAATCAGTGAGTGTTTAATTTTTATCTTTATTTTATCTTTTTTTTGCAGAGTTTCTTTTATTTTCCTTGTTCTCGTTTATTTAAAAAAACATGTTATTCCCTACTGTGTTTTTTACCACTAATGCATTAGTTATTTATTGACTAGAATATTACATCACCAATCTTGTCTCCAAATATCACCCAAACCGTACTCTCCGCTCCTCACAAGACCTCCTACTCTCTAGCTCCCTTGTCTCCTCCTCCCATGCTCGTCTCCAGGACTTCTCCAGAGCTTCCCCCATCCTCTGGAACTCTCTACCCCAATTTATCAGACTATCGCCTACTCTGCTCACTTTTAGGCGGTCTCTAATCTCTTCAGGGAAGCCTATCCTGCCCTCAGCTAATAATGAAATCTTCTACTTCCTACCAGTCCATCCTCCACAGTTACTACCTCTTGTACCACTAGCTCCTCCCTCCTAGATTGTAAGCTCCAAGGATCAGGGCCCTCCTATCCCTCTTGTATTGAACTGTATTGTTGCTGTATTGTCTCCCGTTATATTGTAAAGCGCTGAGCAAACTGTTGGCGCTATATAAATCCTGTATAATAATAGAATATTATGTTTTAGAATAATATGTCTAGAATTCATTCTTTTTGTTATGAAGCTTTACTGTTAATTAGCATGTTCCAGGGGCAAAATTATTGTTGATCACTTTACAAAAAAAAAAAAAAAGCCTGTAAAGAAGATATGGACAGCGGATGGTGCCATGTGTGGACTATAAATATGCCCCTAGAGGAGAATACTGTATGTAAATGGGATGGTTATTTCTGCAATATTGTGCCTATTCTTTAGTGTTAAGTGCAGTTTGGTTGCTGACTATACAAGCTTCCCACCATCACCATCCACCACCCAGAGTTGGTTGAGCACCTTCAGTGCAGGACTGAGAAGGAAGGATCCAAGAATGAATATGGCTAGCGGCATCCGTGGAAACAGATCTATCAGGTCTTCGGAACCCATCATCATTTTGACCACATATACCGCATAACTGGCCTGACATGGCGAAAGTTGGTCGCACCTGGTATGACAGACATAAAGTGAGATGGAGTTGGTACGTTCTTGCAGTAATCCACATTCTATTCCTATCTTGGAATGCTTTTACTGTCTGGCTCAGTCTACTGCATATGAACTATACATTATATAATAGAGACAGAGACATAAGTTTAATACCTGAACATTTCCTCCATCATAGTTAATGCTCTCGATACCAAAGTCGGGTGCTATCAGGGACACACCTGTCGCCGTCTTGTAAATTTCCACATTTGGATCTGGTGAGGCAATAAACATTTTAGCTTCATATTTTAGCACAAACCATCTCACATGTCTTTGTTATGTAGAAAATAGTTACATACCACCAAAGGATTTGTATGGGAGCATATCCATAGGGAGACTGAGGCCATTGATGGTCATTTCTGTTGAACCAGACTGCTGGTACATTTTAATTTCACTGAATGAAAAAAGGAAAGAAGACTTTTAAACATGTTTTTCTTTATTGCTTTTAATGTTGGCAGTGGAATGGTATAATATAACATGATGTATTTGTGGAAACTGCGTAAGTGGGTTCTGGGATCAGCTGTCAAGACAGCAAACAGGTCAAAATGCTGTGTGGGCCACTTGTGTGGTTGTAGTACTATAGACCAGACTTTTTCAACCAGGGTGCCCAGGCACCCTGGGGTGCCTTCAGGATTCTCTAAGGGTGCCTTGACAAATGCCTAAAAATGGCCCAACATTTTTGACAAGCCAGCAGGTGGATCAAGCCTACCTTTTAGTTATACAAAACCACAGGTTTTCATTGTGCACCATTATACCCTTCCAGTCGCAGTGCCATCACAATAAATGACCCCATCATTTGATAATTAGGATGTTGGGCACCTGCACAGCATCGTTGTTTGCCCTTCCTGTGCCCTCCTCCGTTAGCACTGGGGTCTCTGTCACTCTGCTCTGTCCTTTTAGCAGCATGTTCCCTGTTAGCACATTAACTGACTGGGCCCTTGTGCTTCTTTTTTCTCTTCTAGTTTAAAGTATTACTAAACCCCAGACCCTGCAGTCACTATATCTGGTCTCCCCGGACCCTGCAGTCACTATATCTGGTCTCCCACAGTACACACAACATGGCAATGCAATTAGTTTAGTGATTATGAACTGCTAAATACCTTTTCCATCAGCAGTTAGAGCAATTTTGTGACTTCTATCAGTGTCCAGCCGAGCACTGGTTACAGCTTGTAGGAGGAGTTTTCTTTCTGCTCTAGGAGGGTGCAGGACCCCATGACCTCTGGCTGACCAGTGCTGATTGGCCCTGTGCTGATCACATGCACTCTCCCAAGAAAATAAACAAAAAAAAACCCTCTCTAGTAATACACACCAAACTGAGCATGTGTAGCGTGTCTCCACACAATATGTCTTATCAGGAGATAAGAGGGGGGCAATGGAAGAAGGGGAGGATCATAGAAGTCAGGATCAAACAGACTTTTTACACAATGCAGAGGATTAACCCCTTAGGTTCCACAGTGAGTATAACAAGCATGCTTTACTGCATCTACAGACTGATTTTACTGTTGTGGGTTTAGTAACACTTTAAGAGTATGAAAATCTAACATTTTATATTCCTCAAAAAGAATCCTGGAATCTTGGTATTGCTTCCTTTGTGTGAAATGGCTGGTGTGCCTACCAGTCCCTCTGCTTTCCTATTAAAAACTGACTACACTAGGCATGAGAATACATCGTGTTCAGCGCTGTAGTTATGTTGGGAACTCAGTCTGCTATCCTCCAATGACCACACTTGTCTTGGCTGATCTCCCCTGCACGGCATTCCACTGGGAAGACCAGTGTGATGCTGTTTCTCTTAACCCAGCTCTTATACAACTGAGAACGGAGGGAATGTGATCACTTATAAAAAGGGGAAAACAGTGTTTATGGTGTTTGTTTTTATACCTATACACAAACGTTTTACCTTTCATTTCTATTTTAAAGGATAAGTTCATCTTCATAACCTGTTACATATTACCCCCCCCCCCCCCCATCCTGTCTTCTTTGATCCTCCCATTCTTCCACAGTCCCCAATCCATCAGCTGATAGTACAGAGCCCTGGGAGGCATTCTGCACATGCTCAGTTTGGTGTGTATTGCTAGAGAGCTTTTTTTTTTGGAGGGTGCATGTTACAAACACAGCGCTGTCAAGACAGAGGGTCAGGGGTCATGCAGCCTCATAGGACAGTTGTAGAAGAATGAAAACTCCTCCTACAAGCTTTAACCAGTGCTTGATTGGACACTGATAGAAGTCACAATACTCCTATATACTGCTGATGAGAAAAGGTATTTAGCAGTTTATATTTATTAAAATAATTGAATTTCCATGTTCTGTATACTATGGGAGATCAGATATAGTGAATGCAGGGTCCGGGGTTTAGTAACACTTTAAGTAGTGGATGTGCATGCACTATTTTTGGACAATAAGGATATTGTTTAGTGCCAGTTTAATATCGTACATTATAGCAGTAGTTTGCACACATTAAATATTTACTCACTAGTGGCCAAGATTGATATTAATTTCATTTTTGGTAGGATCCTCCTTGGATGTCTTTGCCAACACCATGAACTTCAACTCCTCGCTACAGTCTTGGGCCAGGACGTGGTAGCAGCCCTCAGTTAGTGCCTGAGCCAGATTCACTCCACTGAAAGTTGTGATCTGGTCTTTGGATACTTTGCATTCTCCTGTCAACAAATGAATTTGGTCAGCATGTAAAAGAGCACAACTGTTCTTTTTTTGTACAATCTTTTAGCTATCATCAAACCTTGCCAAGAATCCTTTAGGATCTGGGGAGCTTCAGCAAAAATGCCCCATGATGGAGCCTGTAGGATGTTGCTCTGTGAAATGCGTCGGACTGGAATTGGCACTGGTAAGCTCAAAGCCCTGTAGTGCAGGGAAAGCTGCAACCAACCAAAAAGGACATTGAGAATAGTTTCCATGTAACAAATTTCTGACACAGATAAAGCACTACAATTAGTTCCTGCAGTATATAAGTATTTTTCACTCTGTGATCATAAGTTGAGTAGAGGCCATTGGAGAAGACCCTAATACATGCCTCCTTCCACCTCTTCACCTTAGCCCTACTGTCTCAGTCACCCAAATATTTCTCGAGTCCAGATGCTACTTTAATTTTCTGAACATCTTTGATTCAAAGGACATACAAACACAGTGACTACAGCTGGTTACACACTATCAGTTCTTTTTCGTTCAACCTAGTGGTCTGAATGAAAAAAAAAAACTGAAGAGCTCGAGAGGAGTACAGCGTTAGTCTAGCGATCTCCCCGCTACGCTATCGTGTTCTGACAAGGGGACTACTCCCCCCTCCACCAGAACAGACCGGTCAGCTATCGCAGCCATTGCTTGCCAGCACTGATCGGATGCCAATCAGATGCTGGTTTTCCAGCAGCTATTCGGCTGGCTTCTGTCAGACAGGCTGGGGTACGAACTGAACGAATTTTGGCTGGTTCATTTTGAACCGGCCGATGTTGGCTGATATTCGGCCTCTTGTTTGCAGGGCTTAAGGCAGGTCATACATGATTCCTTTTTTGAAACGATACCCCCATCCAGACATTGAATGTGGATGGGGGAGTCATTTCCACTGAGCTATTGTATTCTGTTGGTGGAGAGCCTTACCCGCTGGCAGAATACAATGATCATTGTTGCCGGGTATAGCCAGCAGCACTGATCATTTGGGAAAAACTTGACAGGCTAGTTATACACAAGTCTATTGACAGATCAAAATATATAACCAATATGTGAGAATAATAAATAATATATAATATAACCACAAATAATAGCGCTCACAAAATATAAACAAATATATAAATCATAACCGTAATAATAATAAAATATTATAACTCCACCACCAAAAATAAAAAATGTGAAAAAAAGAAATATAAATGATATGATAATTAATAGATCCTCATAAAGTCCATTGAATAAAGTCCACATATCATATGTATATATGATCTTCAATCAAATGAAGTTATAGAATCTTTATCTATTGATAGATCAGCTTATGTACAACCAACTAGCCCATACATGGATCGAAATTTTGCTGGTCCCTGCTCAACTGGATGAATTTTTAACATGTATGGCTGGCTTTAGGGGTTCAAGGTGCCCATGTTCCCTAATTCTAGTGAGACGATGGCAATTCCTACATTTATACTAACAACATAGGTAGAAATTGATGGGGGAATGTTGTTTAGGTCCAAGCAGTGGGTCATTATTGAGTATGCAACAATTACCATCCTTTTGCTTGTGCTCTGGTGACAACTGTACAATTTGGAATCATTTTCTGTCTCAGTGATAATGGTCACCAGGATAAACAGGGAACTTTTCACTCATGAGATGGTATGTGTCATACACACAGGAATATATATATATTTTTACCCTTGGAAGCTTAATAGAAACATCAACAGTACGTGGAGAGCTGAGGGCCACAAGGATCTTGATTTCACGCTGAGCGCTCTTCTTGTAACTCTCAGAGAATCCAAACCAGTAAGCAGCCCCTGGGACATATTCGGTTATGCTGAAAAACACAGGAAGGACATTTAACGCCAATATAAGACCTACAGATGGTATTAAAGGTATTTTTGAAATCTTTTGAAAAAAAAACAGGGCAACCAGAAAGACATTAATGGAAGGTGCTGAACTGTCATTACAAACCTCAGTGTCTCTAGCAAAGAATGTCATGGACAGTTAATGGAACTGAAACATTTCATCCTGCTTTCTCACATGTAACTCCAGGGCTCACTTTGAGCTGCACCTTTTACCAGCAAGGGAGAATGTCACCAGCACACCGAGGATGACCAATATGGGTCCAAAAGTTTTAATGAATGATCACATAGTTACAGCAAGGCAATGTTTCAGATTCTCGCAGTCTCCCAGCCTGATGAAGGGGTCCTGCGAGACTCCGAAACGTTGCCGTGCTGTAACTATGTGATCGTTCATTAAAACCTTTGGACCCATATTGGTGATCTTCGGTGTGCTGGTGACATTCTCCCTTGCTAATTCTGTTCAGTACCAGCCAATAGTCGCTGCAGCACCCACTTATACACACAGCCATTTTTAATGCAGGAATGTGTGTATTTGGATTGTACACTTGAACCTTTTACCAGGACCCACCTTTCCTTAAATCAGCAGGAATCTACCAACTCTTCAGCTGGCCATACACTATATGAATTTCGTCGAGTTCCTGATTAAATTGATGTAATTTGCTGCGTGGGTGGGCCTGTCAGCTCCCTCCCACCTGACATTCCTTGATTGAAAACATTGAAAGAGGTGGACAGACATTTTACAGCCAAACAATGACTGCATCCATCTGGGCATCCTGACAGCTGCAGCATTCATAGCGATAGATCTGTTCTGAGCGAATGCTGGCTAAACTAACAAAATCTAATAGTATATGAGCTTTTTCACATTGGGGGGCAGGTCTTACTGCCCTCTGAAAAGTGATTTGGTGGATTTCTTTTTAGAGGCTAGCATAGCAGCAGACGAATAAGGAACAGAAGCAAAACTGTCATGAATCAGATTGATTCATAACAGCTTTGCTAGCAGTGTGATCATGTGATCGCATAGCAATCACATGATTACCGGGATCCGCATTCCTCTGTTTCTGGTGGACACAGTGATCGGGATCCAGTGACCATGTGATCGCATAGCAATCACATGATCACCGGGTCCCAATTACAGAGATCCGCATTCCGCTGCTTTGGTGGACACAGTGATCCCTGTGGGGGATGCGTTGTGTGACCAGTTTGCCACGCATCACCCCCCTTTGTTAATCCAGGCATAGCTTTGCCTGTAGCTGCTGCCCGTCCGCAGTAAAAGTACTGTGGGCGGTCGGCAAAAAAATGCCTAACGTTTGGCTTGCAGTTGCATGCTCCCATTGACCTCACATGTTTTAAAGGCAGTACCACCAGACAAGTTTTCCAAGCTAAATTAAAATTGTTGCTGTTGCAGCATTGTATTTCTCTGTCCGGCTATAATGTTGGAATTTAGTTGGGTGCCCTGAGGAGGGTTAAAACAGCAGCTCAGCCACCTGTTTTTACCACCCCATGGCCACCCATGTGAAAAAAACACTATGGCTTGCTTTAGTCTTCAAACATGCCTTTATTATGGCATCTTTTCAGGACACTATATAACCTTAATCCCTAACGTTTCACTTCCATCAAATGTTTTTCTCATCTCTGTACCTTTATCTAGTCACTGCTCCCTTAGGAATTGTGTCTGTCTCTTTTACTTCTAAATGTATAGTTTAAGGGGTTTTTTTGAACAAAGATCTCATTCCTAGCGTTTTAAGTATTTGTTTATTTGATGATTATTAAAACCTTTATCCTGTTGGTGTTGACAGTATAAAAAACACCACTGACACAATATAAATCCCAACATAAACTTACTTTGTAGCAAGAGACCTCAGCAGGGATGGGAGTTTAGACCACTCAACAGTCAGTCTCAAAGCTGGCTGCCATCCCACGTGACCAAGTTGAACCTTGGTGACAATCTTATAATCTTGACAGTTCTGTCCCCACTTCAAGCT